TCCCAAAATGTTAAAAGGCAGTTATTCTAAATATATTAATTAATATGCACTTACGTATGAGTGTGATCTCTATATTTATGTTCTGTATTTAAATTCTTTCTTTAATCTTATAAATTCATAAATAATTTTTTTTACTAAACGTGGAAACGTGAACGGTATATTACATGCAGATACGAAAGCAATCGCACGAGGCCATTTTGGAGACCACGGCGGAAATGGGGTTGTCGAGGAAATCCGCCCTGAACGACCGCTACTTCGAGAAGGAGAAGCAGCGCAGCCGAAGTTTGGACAATCTACTTCAATCGGAGGTCGTACCTTCCCCGGTGAAACTCGCCAATCTCGGACTCTCCTCGTCTAAGTTGAACGAACGGTACCATAGTTTGGAAAGAATAGGCGAGACTCCGGCGGTCAGCAACGTTGAGTACATGACGCGCAGCGAGATCTCGCAAGAGAGGAAGTACAGCAGGGTCACAAGGACGACGGAGCCCAACATCGAGGAGGAGGATCTCACGATTGACTTTGAATACCCGGATATTCAGTCCGTTAGTCAAACCGGAAGATCGGAGGACGATAAGAGCTACATAAGGTCGCAGACCAGGTTCATCAAGTCGCAATATCCTGGTAGGTCGTCGGAAAGAAATTCTCTTTTATCATATCTTATGTCCCTGTCGCGTTTCGAGGGATTTTGAAAGATTGTACAGCATACGCACGTTACGTCACGACGTTAACGATCCTGAGTTTGTCCTTTGCTCTTGTTATTTAATTCGCTGTTGCGTAAGACGTATTTTACTTGGTGATTTCCATCGCGGAGAAAGTTGGCAATTATGCAACCCAATTTTTCCGCATTGACCGCGTATCGATTATTCCTCTCGCATTTTCAGGCAAACGCGCGCTGCCAGGGAGCCAGTCTAGTCGCGCTTACATCGAGAAGAGTGAATACGGAGTAAAATCGTCCGCCATGTCCGATACCAGCGAAGCGCCTTCTTTGGCGTCGCACGTGCGACGCGTGAGAGTGCCGAGCCAAGCTTCTGACGTGGATCAGTTCCTGGATGAGCTCTTTATGCCCGTATTGGACGGCAATCTCGATGAATTATCGGATGCCCGCAGTTTGGCCGCTTCGATAAAAGGCTCATATGACACTAGGCCATCCGGCGATGAAACAGTTCTTGAGAATATGCAGAGAATCGACAGTCGAGCTACCACAGTAGCCACAGTCGATGACTTCGTTGAGAAAATAATAGCGAGAAACGAAGATACGAAGCTCAGCGCGGGCGAACTGTCAAAGAGGATCAAGGGAGGCGGCAACATGGACATCCCTAATCAGAACGCGGCCTTCAACTTCAGTCCGATCGCGCAGAGCATGATGTCACCGCCGATGATGATGCCCATGTTCAGCCCCACTCAGCAGGTCCCCTCCGGGCAGAATTCTAGCATGAGCATGGGCGCGAGTTTCATGCCCATTCCGATCTACAGCATGCAAGGACTCAGCTTACCCCAGTACCCCAACTCACCGCCTGGGCAGAGCAACGAGATGGTGGCGTACCAGCAGAATCTCCAGCGAGCCTTCCTGCAGAGCGCAATGGCGCAGAATATTCAAATACAGCAGCAGCTACTAGCGCAGAATCAGGCTCTGCAGCAGTTGTTGGTCCAGAGCCCGCAAAACTCGACACAGCAACCGGTAGGAAATTAACTGAAATAGAGAGCGAGAGAGAGAGAGAGAGAGAGAGAGAGAGAGAGAGAGAGAGAGAGAGAGAGAGAGAGAAATTTGTACAAAGTCTAATATCCGAGGTTCGTGTGATTTAACAGAATGATTAACGGATTGATCTTCTTTTATCGTGATTCGAATAAAATTAGACTACAATTGTTGAACGCAATCTATCCAGAAGAGTTCTTCATCCTCTAGACACTTTATTCTGCAATATTTTTTTAAATATTTTTTTATATTATTCTCACACAAGATTTACATTATTTGAACGGATGAATTCCTGACGATTGAATCACGGTAAATCGATCAGAGGCAGACGTTGCATGTCGAGCACGATCGTGAGAGATACATTGTGGCTCTCATAATCACAATTCACGGTCACTTAACTATCATTAACTCGATGGCCTGTCATCAGTAATCGAAATCGGTGATACGTCCGTGCGATGAAAACTAACTCTCAACGAAACTATCGTCGTTCTGGCCGATGCTGTGGGTTTCTGAGGGGTTTATGCCGCGCTTGCGGCATGGGGTGTGTGTTTCCAGAGCAAGGTGTTACCCGCTGGTTCCTCAAGCATGAATCTTGTCCCCCCAGCCCTCCCAATCGGTGCCCATACGGGGCCCAATGATTCTATCGGACGCTACTCCAAGGTATCTACTAATTTTAACCAACCTACGCTGTATCGTGTGGCTTTCCACGGCTACGGAAATATCATGTACATATCGTCTAGCAGAGACTGCGGGAGATATTTCGAATTGGGGCCAACCTGATGAAACAATGTCTCATTCGTCGAATAATCGCGACTTTCTTTCGAATAAATTTTTTTATCTCGAATCAATCCTCCTGCACAAGTCTTAACGTTGTAAATAATTTTTCAAAATTAATCGAGGACTTTATAATCTAATCTTTCTTGAATTAGGTCTCGTTTAGAGACCCCGACGACGGCGAATTATGGTCAACTGAGAAACGGGGAACGCCCGTGCTGACTTCCACTCCGACGAATCAGCGGCAGGAAACGATGACGGTAAAGGCTCAAATTCATCGGTCCCAGAGTCCGCCCAGGAAGAATGCCGAGGTTACCAGGAAGACGAGCATCGATTACGCGCGGAAGATCAGCGTGGATCGAAAGATGGTAGATAGGAAGCCGTCATCGGCACAGGCGGAAATGAAGAGGGCCAATTTAAATAAGAATAACATACAGAGCAACTTCACCAACGTACTCAGCGAGCTGAAGAACAGGAAGAGCAGCGTTGACAGCAATCCTTCAAGTTTGTGCAACAACAAGGGTGTTCCACCACCCCCGCCGATGCCTCCACCCTTGGAGTCTCACGATCCTTCCGAATCCAGACCGTTCATCGATCCGTACGGCAGAGCGAAGACTGTGCGCATCGGGAAATGGAGGCAAGTTCAAAATCTGACGAACTGAATCGCTAATCCAGGCGGCTAATCCTTTTCATCTCGATATTGCTTAGGTGGCCACCGCCCAGCGACTCGAACGAGAATCAAGGGCAGGACAGCTTCATCGAATTCAAGATGCGCCAGCAACACCAGCAACGCAAGTTAACGCCGCAATATCAGGAGTACGATCAAGGCGACGGCGAAGCTGTGACGGAAGGCGGTGTCGAGTGGGAAGAATTCGAGATTGAGAACATCGTCGGTAACGAAGATCGGTCCATGATCGCGCATCCGTCAGCGACGAAACACGAGAACGGATACAAAGAAGAAGGGGAGAAGAAGAAGAAGAAATCGAAGTAATTGACATTGTGCTTCTCTCTCTCTCTCTCTCTCTCTCTCTCTCCTCTCCTCTCCTCTCTGTCTCTCTGTCTCTATCTATCTATCTATCTTTCTATTTATCTATCTATCTCTACCTATCTTTCTCTCTCTCTGCGTTTATAGCAGGCTCAGAAGGGCGATGTTGCAAACTGTCGGATTCTTCCGCAGGTCGGCTTTGGAAGTGGGCGCGCAGAGGCCATCGCCAGGAAGTATAGGGAAATTGAAGCTCAGTTCGGAGATGAGGCAGAGATTGGAGAAGGTAACGGCGAATCATAGCGTGAGATCCACGAAGACGGCTGAGAAACCCGCTCTCCCGCGAGAAGACGGAAAGGTCAAACGACTGGAAGACAATAGGAAGCTTTTGTTAGAGCAACAGCTGGGTAATTAGATGTATTATAAAGTCGCGAGTGTCAAAATTGCATATGTGTCGACGGTGCGTCTAATTGAGAAATGTGAATTTTAAGGTGGCAGGTGGGACGATTACGCTTCCACTGTCGATGACACCCAAAGCGTTACTTCCAAGGGCACGACCGACATGATGACCCAAGCTCAGGTGGTGAGGACACAGATCGAGAGAATGGAACGGCCTGTACCGCCTCCGCCGCCCGTCACGCCGCCGCAGCCACCGAGTCCAAGAGGCGGCAGTGTGTACAGTAACAGGTAACAGCGTCACACATATTAAACATCATTGAGAATCATTCTAAGGTCAAAACGACAAATGCTGTAATCCCTGAAAACCTATAAAAAGTTGAAAAGATTTTGCTTCATCAGTTAAGCAAATCGACGAATGAATCGTTCGTTTCCAGCCAATCCGGTGTACCTCAGCCGCGATCTCCGCCAGCGCCGATCGAGCCGAAAGCCCGCGATTCCTTCCGCATGTCTCCGGACTCCGAGACCTACGATCACTTCCCGAAGAACCAGATGTTCAGTCAAAGCCGTGACATCTTCGCCTCGCAGCAGCATCTGCGCGACGGTCACGACTACCGAAGCGACTTCGACAAGGCACTCGCTCAGGGCGTCAAGTCCAAGGACTTCTACAGCAAGGACAGCACCGATCTCGCGAGTTCGGCGCGCGATCGCAGCTCCGACTTCGACTCGCGCCGCGACCTCAGCTCCGAGCTCTTCGACTCCAAGTACGCGTTCGACGGTTCGACCGGGAAGCGCGATCCCTTCGGCATGACCCGGGACGTGTCCCCTAAATCCCGAGACAGCTTCGGAATGCCGTCGCCGCGTGACTTCGGCGTGATCCCGAACACAAGGGAGTCCTTCACCGTCGCGCGGCAGAGCTTCAACAAGCTGGACCGGGACGTGGACAGACGGTCGAGCGTCGCCTCGACCCACCGCACCGACAAGATGGAGAGAATCGAGATCGAGGAGTGGCCGGAGTTCCTCAAGCCGGTGTTACCGCCGGCGGACAAGCCGGAGATCGAGAAGGTCCAGGAGGTGGTGAACACCAAGCTCTACCCGCAAACCTCCAACGCGCATTTCACGTACAACCGAGTCACGTGGACTCTGAGAGTCAAGAAAGAAGTTTTCGCGCCCAACGAGACGCTCAACAGCCCCCTGGCGTTGCACCTGGTGTTCTGCCAAGTCGCGTACGACGTGCTGGCGACCTCCAGCATAAGAATCACCAAGGAGGACCGGCAGAACATGCTGAAGATGCTGGACAACTACGGCGTCACGCTGGACAATCTCCAGAGCACGCAGCACAAGATCACGATCAAGAAAAACATTGTGGATATAGCGAAGCAGTGGCCGTTGTACTTTGCCCGAATATTTCCCGTATCGGTAAGTTCAGCTTATCTTAAAATAATCAAATTCTCTGTCGTGCGGAACCCTGTTTAAAATAATAGATCAGTTACTGTCCTAGAAAAAACATTTTGCGCGCAAACACCTAGTATTATGACGACGCATCGGGATAGAAGTTTGCTTGCGTTGTTGAGTCAGTTTTGTACGCAAGTTGTTAGATATTTGCGTGCAAAATTATACGTTACCCAGTGAGAAATGATTCGTCGATCGACGAGTCGTTACTCGCTAGGTAATACATGAGGTTAACACTTGCGTGCAAACTCACAGACTAAACATATCTCACGAGCAAAACTCAGGCGAATCTCGTACAAGTTTGCATCTATAAGACAAATAAAATTTGCACGCAAAATTATACGTTAATACACGAGCTATTTATTTGCGTGCAAACGCACAGACTAGACATATTATATCTT